GTGGCGGAACTATTTCTCGTTTGACGAAGTGAAAGCAATACAAGATCTGTGCTCAGATCGGTTATATAATATGTTTGGATGGAAAAAAGTTCAATATAAAAGCGATTTCAACGACGAGACAAACACGTTTTTTGGACCGATACCGAAATTATAAATAAAAAAGGCGAGAAAAAAAGATTCAGTAAGAAATGTATCCAATCCAAATTCACCGTCTGCAAAGGGCATACAAGTACAAGAACACAAAACAGTAAACAACAAACAAACATACAACTGGCATAATGCATGGTTTAATAAATCAGTCGTGTCCCTCTAAGCATACAAGTAAAGTATTTTTTCAAGAGTTCGCATATTTTAAAGTTTCCGATGTCTAGCTAAAAAAACTATATGTATAACACAGCTACATGCTATTGATAGTTATTGTACCCCTACTCGTACGTTATTTGGAATTAACGACTATTTTTAGACCGAGGCCCGGTAAATGTCCAAGACGCGAGGCTCCGAAATGTGGCCTTTAATTCCCGGTACATGACAAAGAATAGTAACTTTACTTTGCCACGATATCTCGATATATGCAAAGAATTTCCGACTATTAAAGCGGGAGGGTCGTCATCTGCGCACTCGCGGGAATTGAGTCCCAAGCGACGATAACAACACACGCTAAAACGCAAAGGATCATGGGTAAACGTTTGTTTGTAAACAATGACACGCTATGGCCATCTGACGCATGCGTAGGTGACGACACTCCCGCTTTAAAGCACAGACAGACGAAAATTTCCTAAATGTTCATACACTTCTAAATTGAGGTCTACATTTACTACAGTGCGCGACTAAAAAGTGTGGATGTTATAAGCGTTTTATAGATAAACAAATTTAAATAGCTGTTAAAATTCTGATTGACCAACCCAGCTAAGGTTTTGTGACATTATACATAGTACATAATTATAGTTAGTACATCAATGTCGTTCAATCAGAAAACACTTTAACTTGAACACTCAGCGACGAATTTCTCATATGTTGAGCTAATCTTACAAAATAAAACAAATCAATATCAAACGATCGGGCAAATGATTGCACTGAGTCGCAAATTTCCATACTCTGACAGTATTATATTACATTGTATATACACCTATTTCGATTATTTATTTTATTTATTAACTAATAACAACCTACTGGAGGAGGTTAAAGATTACAAATTTACATATAAAATTTTCCGACTCCCAGTGAGGAACAGGTATCATTCCATTAACTGAAATGTCCTACTTTTCCAATTTTCCTATATATCCATATATCTGGTATCTTTTTAAAATTCGGTCAGGGCGATACTAGTATGATGTTTACCACCAACGCATTCTTTTTTTGTTACCGATTAACCAAACCCGCTTACAGTGGCCACTACATACCACTCTATGCACTATGCGCATATACGTACAATCATCTAAGGCTTCACGAGAACGTCGTCATTCATCGGTGAAAATGCAAAATACGTCGACGGCTCGCATCTATTTGGACTTCACGTTGTTTTATTCAATCTTTGCGTAGTACCTTCATCAAAGATAGACGTACGTATCTCTAGAACACTACAGCTTAGTCTATTATATTCAAAATCGACGACAGTATAACGTGAACTGTTGTTCACCCCATAAGTAAATTGTGACGTGCTCTACTCGTACACGTGTAAACGGCATGTTTGGGAAATACGAATATTCTTGAAACGAAATAGGAACCAAACTAAACGTGGATAAATGTCCATCGTCCCATCGTTCAAACAACGGAATACAGCTGACCAATCATGGGAAAGAAAGAGTCAGAGTTTGTAACTAAGGGACTGACGAAGTCCAAGAATGACTTTGAAGTCGTAGTTCGAACATGTAAGGAACTGGAGTATATTATTGAGAAGTACCTAGCGGGCCAGGGAACGGGACTCCACCAGCTCACAAACAGCGTACAGGAGGAAATATCGCCATATCTCGCGAGAAAATTACACTACATTGCAACAATACGAAACAAAATTGTACATGAACCGGATTTCAACTCCATGCCGGACAGGAAGAGCTATATCGAAGCCTTCAACGAGGTACAAAAGGAATTGGCGCAGACAATTGAACAATCTCACAGCGTACTGTATGATGAAAAGAAGAAAAAGTCATCTAGATGTATCATTATGTAGGAATTAGATTATGCAGGTATAACGGAAATGACGTATTTGGCCATTCATTGATATGTATACAACATCATTAAACATTAGATAGCACACAGTCCCTCTATGGAGCGAGGGTGGATAATATAAAAAAAACAGTTTTGTTTTTAGTTTGCTTGTTTGAAGTTGATTGATTGATATTGGCAGTAAATAAATATGTAGTGCACAATTACAATAATATAGGTGTGCCGATATAGTTTCAGAAATGTTAATGAGTGGGTGTAGGATAACCTTATTAAAAAAACATACAATCTGTAACATAATGTATATTTGTTGTGAACATATCAGGGCTTGTGTGTGCGAAGTAAGTGAGTACAAACTAAACGCTAGGGTTTTTTGAAAATGCAAACTGTGCATTGAGGATTTTTACAGTTATTTACTTTTGAAATATATGTAGAGTGGGTATGTCAACTCAAGTGGACATATGGCCTAAACTGGTATTGTAAATACAATTTAGATTAAAGGGCGATAGTCGTCGCCCCACTTATGCATGAGATATGTGGGTCTCATATAAACAAAGATGGCGACTTTGACTTTGACAAACTGAGACATTACCAAGCTATAATTGGGTATTTTTTAGTTGATTGGAAGGTATCGAAGGATTCGCCGGCGGTAATTAATGCAAGTCACGCCCAGGTCAAACCTCATACTTGTGATTTCCATGAGAAGAGCGCATTGGATTGTGGGAAAATCAATGTTTATCAACACAAATGTCGCATATGCGCACTGCGACGACCACCGCCCTTTAAGAATTATAATAATCATTATACATCTGTCACTGTAACAACTCAAGTTACAGCATGCCATAATTTTGTGGTATTGCACTGAGTATTTTCATCCTACCATATTAGGAAATGCAAATTCCAAATATGGAGCGATTATGCGCATGAGCGTCCTCTAATAATAAAAACAAACATGGCAGCCCCCAGGAAGAAGTTCGCTGAGTCTGTTCTAAACTTTTTGGATTTCAGGATTTCCATGATGTATCCTTGGGAGGAAAAGACAGTACACCGTCGCATCGACCTCCACTGTGTCGGCCGATATTCCCACTGTACTTTCTTCACACATACTTTTTGGTATCATTGTAATAACCTCATATTATTGCAACTATATATTATATTTGATATCAATAGAACAGTTATAAACAAGTTACTCATTCATTGTCATTACAATAGCATAACATGACTATGACATCATAATACAGAAACAAGTCTACAAACTAAGTATAAATTATACATTAATAATAATAATAACTTTATTACACAACTTAACCATCTGTGGGTTTAGTAAGGTAAAAAATGATTACAAAGACAAATAAAATAAGACAAACTAAAACACTAAAATTTAAATACACTGAAATTCAACAAAAGAAAAGAAATAAAAATTAGAAAATAATAATTGATATACTACTCAAAACAATTTAGCATTAAATAGGTTTGGATGATACTTTAATGTTACGTACCAGCGATATTGACACAACAGCTGGATTCCATATGTCACACCTGTCTAAATTCCTAACAGAAACCCACAAAATATTGAAGTTGTGTTGATTTTAAATTAGGTGAACAAATACGAATCATTCACCATGACATACCTAATTTAAATCTCAGATCTGGAAGACTGTTACATATGCTGTATGCAAATTATCATAATACATGCAATAATGGTGTGCCACACATTGTACAAGATTAAGGTAATTCACGAATCAACAAATTATGGTTCAACTAATCCAAAATAAAATGTGGATCACATTTAGTTATTATTTTTTATAATATTACTGTCATGCATTTAAACAAATTTGCACAGTTCAATATTTTAAATATACTGTTTTTATTAATTATTCTTCAACACTGCTTTAAACCTCACAGCAAGCCTCACACTATACATGTATGTTTGTCACCTATTTACAAGGAATATATTTGTGATTTTGTGTATTCTATGTTTGTAAAAAAGTCCAAGAATACAAAACAAACGATTTGTAAGTTATATATATTTGTAAAATTACTTTTCAACGTTGAATGGCATCAGAAAACCTCTCACTGGTCTCTGTAAGTACCACTATGACTTCTGTATAGTTCATGATCTTATTAAAGACAATTCTGAAATTAAATTCAATAGTCTAAAATAAAATATCAAAATGCCCATATGCAAATGAACTAGTATGAGTGAATACACAGTATGTTTCAGATCTCTAATATTTTTGGATTTGTTGCCATACCAACCGATTTTAACATTTCTCATAGTAATCACAATAATTTTCATACAATATACTCTGAATGGTGAAATAGAGAAGTAATCCACCATTTTATCAGAATTAGGTTTGATTTTGATAAAGGCCTTTAAGAGGCAAAGCGCGTGGACAGGGAGTCCTGTTGTGGCCTTACAAGTATATTATGGGCTAAGAAGACAAACAGCACAAGAATACTATAAGATGAAAATACAAATCCAACTGGTCTAAAAAAAACTTTAAGCATGGACAAATGGAATCTGAACTACTGATCTAGATGAATGCTTTCCAGCTGTTTGTAGTGGGCAGAATATGGATACATGTACCCGGTACTACAATGAATGACATCAGAGTGAAACTTTAACCTATTAGCAATTTACTCATCAAAGCAAAGTAGATATTGATTATAATCTTGTTAATTTTGTGAAAAACTTTATTTAATTTGTCAAATTTTGAGTTAAAGGTTATGTAATATTTAAAATGTCCATTTGTCCTAGCAATATAGTACACTATCAAGTTTGTTAAGTGATCTGGAAGTCATCTTTTGGCAAACAATGCATTTATCTTCACAACAAGGCTGCATACAATGTCATTTATTCCTGTTATAGCTGAGAATTGCATCGACATATTACATCACATTATTACTGAATAGAGCACTTAGAATGTCGATTAGATCCTTTGACAGTATGTTTTACAGGTACACTGGACATCGATGTCGTCTTTGATCTTCTCAGAGAAAATGTGCGCTTGGAATACTTTGGTTTCACATCTAATATATAGAAAATAACAGTGAAAGCTAAATTAATATGAGAACTGAAACACTGTATAAGGCAGGATATTTTACTCCAATTCCTCATGGTTCTTCATTAAAATGGCAATAGCTGTAACTATCGATCAATTTTGTTTTCAATAAAACATTTTCTGTGTTATTAGAGTCAATTTGTAATCGCTATAGCCAAAATGTGGAGATATATTATACTTCAGAGGGCGCCTACTATTGAAATCAAACCTCATGTATTATGGTATATGACAGCTTACTGTGGACCCTAGACGAAATGTCAAATACAACGCCATCTTGAGAGGTTAAGCCTCTCTCTGATTGCCTCTCACTGATGATTTTATGAGTCACTTCCCATAATAGCGTACGTTATGTAACCTAATTTCCTACTGTGACTGAGTTGAATGAAATGGTGACTACTCGACCCTTATTTTTCACACCGCATTTATTGTGGTATTAGCCTTGCAATTGTGTCTAAAACAATATTTCGGTAAGATTATGTCATCTGTATGCAGATAGATTGAAAAAATAAAATGTATAAAATCTCAGCTATTGTTGCTTTAACATCACAAACAAGATAATTGATATGTATATCAGTTTTTCACCTGGAAATGAACTAATTGACGAAAGATTGACTCATTATACCTGCTTGAGAATTATGAAAGCATTCTTGTTGAATTTGCCCCCACCCCTTAACAGACCATAATAATTCTCACCAACATTTGGATGCAACATTTTTTCATATTTTTGTATTATTTAATTATTTCTTTGTCATTTATATAACAAATGGACATAAATTCTGATTGACTATAAGTCATGATCAAAATAATTAAAGAAATTATGCAAGCTTATTTTTTTAAAAGTGACAAATTTAGAATTTTGTTTTCAAACAGTTAAAACTAATAGGTTATGATTGGAGGAGTCCATATCAATGACAGCGAAGCTAAAAAAAAATTATTCTCACCAGTACCAGTACGGAATGATTCTGTCCTTCTCACAGGGTGTTTATAATTACTCCATTTTCCATTCTTGTAATAATATTGAATAATACCTTTATCCAGTGCAGGGTCCCACCATGGTTGACCTATGTATCTAATTGGCTGTGGAGTCAAGAAGTATTCAGGTCAACAATTGTACCTGGATTGACATTGGTCACATGACAGATACAAGAATTAAGAACTAGCAGCCTGTTGGCTGAGATAGCTCCGCTGCACATTTCAATTAAATAACAGAAGATATCATCAGAAAATGAACAAAATGTATAGTATTAAAGCAATCAGACTTGCTGTTTTCAACAAAAATTTGAAAAAATAACTTTTTATCAAAAATATTCATCAAAATTAGAGAATTAAAGATATCATCATAAAATGAACTAATCTGAAAGAAGTCCACCCAAGGTACCTACATACCAAGTATCAAAGCATTTGGGCTAGCGGTTTTCAAGAAGAAGTAGGAAATAGCATTTTTGACCAAAAATGACAAAAATATTCGCTATAAATAAGACAATTGAACATATCCACACGAAATGAACAAATCGGAGAGAGAACCACCCAAGGTACCTTCCTAGAAAGTTTCACAGCTATACGGTTTGTGGTTTTTAAGAAGAAGTCGAAAATGTAAAGTTGACAACGGCGACGGTGACGGCGACGACGAACAATCAGTAATACTATAAGCTCCGCTCGACTTCGTCAACAGCAGAACTAAATATGATATGAATGACTTTTATTTTCTTATTTACTGTACTGCCATTTACAGGTTATAAAGTAAGGGAAAGGTGTACCTAGTCTGGTACTTCTATAATTGAAAGTGTGCTTAAAACATCTATCCTAACTAACTACTCACCTTCTCTTCTTCATCATCCTTATCTTTATTATCTTTTTGTTTATCTTCTAACTGTTCAAATATCTGTGCCATATCTTCAGTCATTCTGCCTTCTGTTCTGACTTCTTCACAGTATGCTTGTAGCTGATCTTCACTTGATTCTTTGTAACAAACTGATAACGAAAACAATGAAATGACAATTGAACAGTTAAATTTTATTTCTGCTCTTTAAGCACTGAAATGTGCCTTGCATACAAAAAACTACTCAACAATTACACTTAATCAATAAATATAAATTCTATTTCCTGAAAACTTCCCAAAAATGTGGAGCGGATCCTTGCCTGAACATTGACACATTGATGTGACCAATTTTACTCCAACCAGACTATTTCTATTTACAGCATCACAACTCAAAATAATTAATAAACATATATTCTTGTATATTTTATTCTTGTTTACCATATTTGAGTAATGTTTGAATAAGATTTGTCCTTAGAAATATGTTTTGGAATGCTCTTATTATTTGCATATTTCAGTGATGGCTTGGATGGGGTGGAAAGTCTAAATAACACAAGTGCATGTCATCCATGTATTTACACAAAATATAACTAGCCATGTAACAAATTTCAAGATTGAATATATTATATATTTTGTAAGAATTTACAGATTACAGGGAATAAAGATACATGCTCTAATGTAGGTGAAAAGTATGATAGTGCTTAACAGGATATAGGGGAAGTTACTGAAAATAATCAAAACTAAATTTACTGATAGCCATGTAACAAATTACAAGATTGAATACTTTATATATTTTTTAAGAATTTTCAAAAATTACAGATTACGCACAATTGTAAACCTACTTGAACCCATACAATTAACTATATATATTCTAGGCATATTTCAGAAATCTCAGAGACCTTAGAAAGTACATAGATTCTAGGCATCTTATTTGAGAATAAAATTTGACCAAATGGTAACAAAAATTTATGTGCATATGTAAGTTATCATCTTTGTATTGAACTTGAATAATCAGACAAAGCATGCCCTAGAAAAGGTGCTAGAGGGATAAAACCCAAATTATCAGTTTTTGATTTCAAACTTCAATGGAAACAAAATTAATTTGAAAGTATTTCTTCTGATTTTCAAATAGCCAGTCAAAAAGAATATTTTTTATACAAAATTTCAGGAAATTCTAGTGTCAAAAGTTTGTTAGCCTAGATGGCCTATTGTGAAAGAATGGTCGCCAAAACTCATTATTCATTGGTTAGATTCCAATAACTTCCTGTTAAATTCAACCCTAATATTTCTCATAATGCACTGCAATATACAGTGAATGCAAAATTTCAATTCAGTTAGAACAACTATAAATGTTCTTACCTGCAAGGAACATATCCGTAATGAGTGAGAAATGCTTAAATTGTATGTAGGCACCATCTGTGATTTCAGCAAGCTCTTTATAGAATGGTGTTGCATAATTATTATTGTTGGCTTTCACTCCATAGACCTACAATCAAAACAATAATATCTACCAGGGGTTTCACAAATGCACTTAATAGCAGGCCATCATCCTGTAACAACAGCCCAAAAATAAATAAAAAGGCTCTGCAGCGAGACCGGCGTTAGGGCGGTCAAGAGAGCGGAGAGTAGACGGCCAATTTGGGCTTATAGCAGGCCATATGGCCGCCGGTCGGTATCCTGTTTTTGACAAAAATACTTTCAGTGAAATCACATGAAAATGAAAAAAATGAAAAAATGATATTCAAAAAAGGATATTTGTAAGATATATCGTCATATGCATTAAATTGTATAGACAGAGAAATAAAACTGTAAATTAAAATTTGTTGCCATATCAACAGTAACAGATGATATATGTGCACATCGTCTATAAAACATTCAAATCGTACTTTGTTGCTTAATAGAAATGTCACTTCATGATAAGTTAAGATTTTACTGAGAAATGTTTACCTTAATTCCCATTCCTTTGAGTACATCTAATTCATCATGCCAGTTGATAGCTTGATCTGTGTAGGATACAGGATGTGGTAGATCGTCGCCAATGACAACCAAGGCTTTAGCTGAATCTTCACTCCAGTCTAACATCTGTGCACGTCTTAACACCCATTCATAACACTGAGATGGAAGAGAATACATAACATTAGCTGGCTTTCATTGCATGTGTTTCCATATGTGTGAAGCAGTCAAATTAGATATATTAGAGACAGTGTCATTCTAACAAGCAGATTGAATTCATTGGAGATGAACTCATTACTATAAAACTATTTATTTTCACTGACATTTAATTTCATGTTTTGAGCATATTCTCTGTTTTAATATCACTATTTTGATTTTTTAAGCATATTCTGTTTTAATTTCACTATTTTGAGCATATTCTCTGTCTTAATTTCACTATTTTGATGTTTTGGGCATATTCTCTGTCTTAATTTCACTATTTTGATGTTTTGAGCATATTCTCCATGTTTTAATTTCATGAATTTGTCAAGGAAACAATGAGTTTTATGGTTATTTCACATGTTGACAGATTTTATTTATCAGTGAAAATAGCGAAATTAAAACCCAGTGAATAATTAATACATTTACAGTAAGTCTTCCTAATAATGGCCACCAATAAGTGATTTTAGATATTAATTACCGGTAAAATGGATAATATAAAAGGCATAAATAAAAAATGTACATCTTACATTCAACACTCACTAGTTTTGAGAGGGTGATTAAATTTGTACACTAGATTGTATCATTTGTGAAGTACTACCACACCAATTCATTCTTAATTAAACAGGTTGGTGATATGTACACGCACATAAACAGAATATGTCGGTTAGCCCGACTTGTTTAACCATATCACCTTGTCTCTCCCAGTTGGCCTACCATACAACTAGAGTGTAATGGCATTGTATACTACATGTAGATATGCATATGCCATACACATTACCTAATTTTTGTGTCAAAATTCTTAATCTAATCTGTCAATGATCTAATCTGTCAATGATCTGATCTAATCTGTCAATGGATATCCAAGATTTATATATACACACAACATGTGAAATACAATAACTAGGTGAATATTTTAGTCAGCATACTGACTTCTTTTCACAAAGAAATCTTCAGCAATGTATACAGTAAATATGATTGGTTAATTTTTGAGAAATTGGTCATAAATGATAATATTCATTGGTTTATTATATATAATCATGAAGCTATTGTCCAATAGCTCAATAAAGTTGCTTTCTTTCTTGTGTTTTTTGAGAAATGTGTTCTAATATTTTTTTAACAATTCCATAGACACAATGTTGAAGAAAAAAAGCATTTTTTGACACTTTTTAAAACTCAGATTTTTTAAATATTTCAGGGCAACAAAAAGTACCCTGTCAGCCTACGATTTGAAATATATCATATGTCCTATGCTGTATACAATGTTTATTCATGTGAAATACTGTATGGCAACTGTATGGCTTCAATCCATACCTCAGGGCTATCTCCTCCTGATGTGGCATCAACACCAACAACAAACTTAACCAGTTTGTGAACATTGGAGCATAAATCAATGGTTTTTACAACATAAACATTGTCATCACAGTAATCTCCATGGGCCATAATACCAATGCGAATTTTAGGAATGTCTTTTAACAGTCTAGTCACAGTCTCACCCAGTTTATCTCGCACCTACAAGAAAATATTTATAGAATATTAGTTAGTGCAAGTGCTTACATAAATGAAGGATGGGAGTCTACAACCGAAATAAGTCATATTTTATTGACCTATTATACAATAAATGCAATTTGTATCGGTAGTGCTTTATCAAATGTAATAACTTCACTGCATGCAACGACGGCTTATGGGTGACACTGAACACCAGAAAACAACTTGCCACTTGACATTGAATGCATATCATCTACATAGACATTAACATGCTTGGACCTCACTGATGCTGCTTGTGGTTTTAATTTATTTTTAATTATTGTAAATGGCAAATACAGATTTTTCTACTACTGTAAAATGTTTTATTTTTAGCTGGAATTAATTTTTGCTGAAAAGACTTTTTGGGTCTTTTGTATGGAATTTATTTTCACTGATTTTTTGATGAGTTGAATGTAAAATATAGAGAAAAAAAGTATATTCACTGAATTTTATGTTCATTGAATCATCCCTTCTGCTAAAATTAATTCCAAGCGAAAATAAAGTTTTTTACATTAATAGACATAAATGCCAGCAGTGTTAGGAGAAAATCTTACCTTTTGTAAACAAGAATACATGCTACCAGTAGTGTCAAAAGAAAACACAACTTCAACAACTTTGTTACAAGGAAGATCAGCAGCAAAATTATTTAATAATTCCTAGAAAAATCAACAAAATATAAAATAATACAAACAAGTCTAAAAATCATACACCAGACATTTTCTACTACCGGTACCAATAGTAAAACTTTTGTAATTGAATGTCTTGAGTACAAAAACATGTTGAAGACGAAAGTACTATGCATGTACCTGTTTTATGTCTTCCTCTATTTCAATCTCTTCTTCCATTTGATGATTCTCATCTTTTTTTATGACAAGTGTCAAAACATCTTCATCCTTTACTCCAAGATTCAGTAAAGACTCAGAGTCCGGTGATAACACAGTCTTAGCAAGCTGACAAAACAGGAATACATCACCTATCAGTACACAACTTGCATAGCAATTGTCCAAACAAAAATGTAGCGCAAAGTTTTTCTTAAAAGATTCCTTTTTTTTAAACAGACAGACATGACACTCTATTATGAATTACCAAAGACTCCTTTTAATTTCTACTATAGTTTTACATTTCATTCATTCAATAACCCTTTATGACATAATAGTATATTATCAACTATAGTAAAAAAGCTATAACTAAACAAGACATGACAGGTAATGTCATAGCCCCCACTCAGAAAACAATTTAAAACTGACATTGAACTGTCTTTGTGTCAAAGTGAATTTATCCATTATGAGCTGTACTAAAGTTCTGTTATTAATTGTTCAGAATTGATGTGGAACAATTTTAGGAAGGATGGGGTAAAAAAATATAAATTGACTCAGAAAAACCAAATAAATAACTTCATCAACATATAACGCGGTGTGCACTTGTAAACAATTATTACCTGTCTCTGTACCAACTTTGAACAAAATTTGATGACACATATCTGAGAAAAAGTGGTAACGGCTAGAATAAGCTTTTTATGCATTCAGTTGTATTACCATGAATGTTGTATATTGCATTTCATGTATTAAATGCGAGAAACTTTATATTGGTTCTACAGTTTGTCGATTGGGTGATCAGTTTGCTGAGCATCCGCGGCAAACTAAACAGAAAAATTGTTTTTAACCGGTTTCACTTCATTTTAATTGTGGAAATAACATTACAGATATGTCTATTTCTGGTGTATGTGTTGTCAATGGCAACGAAAATCAGCTCAGGCGTGTCAAGGAGGAAACTATATTCTGCCTTGGAACTCAAGAACCCAGTAAACAGTTCAACTCATTTGTCGAGCTTACTACCTAAGGCGCGTTATATGTTCTGTTGTGGAATTTTTTGTGATTCTAAATTATAGTTCATGCGCGTTCTAACGTTCCTAGTTTCTACCTGTACGCTTTAACATTTTCTTCTATGTTATCGATAAAGAGCCATTGCTCGAAATGTCTAGCTATTTTTATTAGTTAAAATAGGACTACGATTACCAAATATTATCTACTATATATCAACTTTGAAATGAATTGGATGACACATGTGTGAGAAAGAACTGGTAATGACTAGAAAACTGTTTTTTTTTTATAGATTTTTGGAGACAGAAATGGCCCCCAACCACTCAAAATTGATTCAATCAAAAAATAAATGTTTTTTACCAGATTTTACCGGCTGCAGCGAGGCTGTGCCCCTGGAGGCTTTCCTCCTATGGGGCACGTTGCGGGTCTCTTCGTGGACCCTTCCTCGCACGGCGCCGAGTTTGCCTCCGAGTTGAGGGCTTTGGTCGAAGGACTGTCGGGGCAATTGCGTCCCTGGCAGGCCGGGTAGATCAGACGCAGTCGGAGCGAGCTGTCTCCACTGTGTCCCCTCGGTGGGCAAGCAGGAAGAGACACGAAAGCATGTTTGCATTCAAACCCGTCTCTTCCGGGGAACCCCCGTTCCCAGTCACGGCTCTCCCACTATTTTGGGGGGTGCCCGAGGCTCAGGCTAATTGCACCGGTCCTTCTCTGGATCCGCGGGCACTGAATGCCAACGGGGTGCTGGCAGCCAAGTCTCCGATCTCGGGGCAGGGCTTTCAGGGCAGGGCACGCGTTGACCCCCCCCCACTTTCAGCCCAGTAGGGTCGTCACGTGGTAACGGTACAACGGTAACGAATTTATCCTTGTGTCCGGTCCCCGCTGTGGGTTTGACTACTTTCTACCGACCCAAGGGCGTCCCCAGAGGGAACCGACCCTGTCATGAGACGCACAGTCGAACACGCTCCCTCTCACATATTTTAAGTTAAAGGAGACGCAGTTCGCTCACGTTGGATACAGTCGGTACTCCGGGCGGTCCCTCAGAGTCTTCCATCTGTATGACTCGGTGAGCCACGCTTTTGGGGTGAGGCGGAGTATCATCGATCCCAGTGATACGATGTATATACCCCCACCCTTGATCCTAAAGTGACCACCTAAGGTGGCTTCAACACAGGCGTCGGGATCCAAAGCAACCCCGTCGGCACATCTCTCCCATGTCCGTCTGAGTGCGGAGTGGGGCGCAGAGCACGCAAACGGTGTTGATGGGTGGCGTTGGTCAGCCACGGAGGATGTAATGCTTAAGGCCCCCGGGTGGGGATAACGTTAGGCAACACTTCCCACTGGACCAAACGCTACCCGGTCGATGTGTCTCGCGATCAGACCCCATAGCGTGGGATGAGACCAAAACGCCCCCAACCGGATTCCAAGACTCCTTCCCCAGACCCCGGTACCACAAATTTGGCAAACCGAGCAAAGGGGGATAGCCGCGTTCCATGGGTGTCTGCCAATTGAGGACGACCCATCTAGCCCTGAGGGCAGAGTTGCTTGAGTCCATTATTATGCGTGCCCAGCACTCTGTGACCTTGGTGGTAGAACGCACCAGCCTCCTAGACCAGGCGACATTTTTACTGGTGGGTCACCGCACATCTACGTGCGACACCCCCTAGTGTTGCCTGGCTCGCTTGGCCAGGGCCACTACTGTGCTACGAGACGCGGCCTTAGACGCACGTGTTTTCGCCGACAAGCTGAGCTGGGGTACGTCCCCCACCTCAGTGACGCAGACTGGACACCCTCCACCCTCTTTGTTCAGGAATGGTGGGTACAGTCTCGAAGCTTCGGAGTGCAATGAATCAGAGGGTTCAGATCGATCCGCTAGCCAGTTGGTCCTGCCATGGGCAA